AAACTGGTATAAAATCCCAAAACAATAATACACATGCAGAAGAAGAGTCCACTAATAACAAACCGAATATGTCTAGAGATGAAATAGATGTTGAATTAGTATTATCTTTGAAGAGTAAACCTGATACATCCAGAAAAGAAGGTAAAACTCTTGAAGATGATAAGACATCTAACGACGATACAATGTTTAATGGCAATACAAATTCTAAATTTGATATAAAATCTCAAGATAATGATACACGTGCAGAAGAAGAGTTCATCAAATACAATAGGAGTTTCTCTAAAAAGGAAAAAAATATTATTAAATTACTATCATATTGGAAGAGAAATAAACTTGATACATCCAGAAGTKAAGGTAAAACAATCGAAAACGATAAGACATATAACGACGATACAATGTTTAATGGTAATACAAATTCTAAATTTTATGTAAAATCTGAACACAAAATAACAACCAAAGATGATAATATTTCCAAAACTGTTATAAAATATCAAGACAATGATACACTTGCAAAAGAAGAGTCCGCTAATAAAAAACTGAATTTGTATAAAGATAAAATAGATATTGTTAAATTGGCATCATGCAGTGAAAGTGAAAAAACTTTTACACTCAAAAAAGATACAATATTCAAAGACTATTCAATGTATAAGGGCAAAAAAATTTCTAAAACTAGTATAAAATCTCAACACCATAATACACTAGTAGAAGAGCCTCCTAATAAAAAAATTGAGTTATGTAAAAATATAATAGATGTTTCAAAATTGTTATTATCTAGGGAGTGTGAACCTGATACATCCAAAACTGAAGGTGAAACACTCCAAAATGATAAAACATTGAAAGATGATACAATGTTTAAGGGCAATACAAATTCTAAAGTTGATATAAAAACTCAAGACAAAACAACATTTAAAGATAATAAAATGTCTATAAAATCTCAAATCAATAATACACATGCAGAAGAAGAGTCCCCTAAGAAAAAACTGAAATTATGTATAGATAAATTTGATGTTGTTATATTACCTAACAACAGTGAAACTCGCCATTTTAAATCACAATCTATGTCTTCAATAAGACCCCTTACTGAAATTGCTTCCACTAGCACTAAGAATGAGCCCATGGTAACAGATTGCGTAGCAACTGCCAAATCAAAAAATTCTTCAGATATAAATGTAAGACACTGGCTTCACGTCGTTAAACCTGCAAAAATGATGACTAAACATAATCTCATAAGGTGGAATAAAATGGAAGATATTTTTAAACTATCTGCAATTGAAAAAATATATGTAAAGTATTTTAACAAATCCATACAAGATACTATTGTCATTATTACCAATATACTCAACATAATTATAATATCTGACAAATATCACGAAACAAGAAGTAATGCATCTTTTAAGAAAAAAACTGCTGCTGAAAGACTTAAGGAAAGTTGTGATGCTGACCAATTACATGAAAAACATACCAAAATTCTGGAAACAGAGTTAAAGGGTTACTTTGCATATGGGGTATCAATTTTTGCAGAATCGGAATTTGATTTAGCATTTAAAATGTTTTTTCTATGTATATTATCTGTACTTCGAGTTTTAGATCAGTCTAGTTTCAAACTAGGTAGCGTCTTTAAGAAATTAGCAACCTTATTATGGAATAGTTTGAAAAACAGTAACTATAAACATACCAAAATTTTTTCAATGTTGCGTTCAAAGACATTTAAACCAGATTGTGTCAAAATAATAACTGTAATTGAAGATAGTCGGGTTGATGACCCCGGGGTTGTCGACCGCATGGAATTGTTTTTTATATCATCTGCAATCAGTCTGAAATATTTTCAAGATGTTATCGATGCTGTAACCGGTAATTTGAATAACGACCTGTCAAAATTAATTGATGATGCTACTCGTCTATTTCGCATTCATTCAAAGTATAAAGATCCTGTAAATTCATCAACTGTACAACAACCAAATGATAAAATACCAGTAACAAAAACTATTCAAACCCCCCCCAACACAGTTGAAACAATCCAAAACTGGCTCATTGCCAATAATCCAAATATAACTTACCGGTAAGTATTTTTCTTATTATTGTTATGGACGTTTTAGTTTAGTTAGTGGCCATAACATTTTTGATCTTGTTACATGTTTAGTATGTTTAGATCCCTAAGAGAAATTCCGTTTCTATACTGTTTTTGCTTTTATTCTCACTTCTACCTTACAAAATTTGTCTATCTATTTAATAGATGTCATAGACAGCAATGACATTTTAATTACAGTATCCTTGTATGTCAAATTTATACTAGCAAACATTTTTATAATTTCTAGGAGATTATGACAGTATATCTACTATATAATGATATTATATTATTGATAGCACTCGTTTTAAATTTTATACGATGACAATTGGGCAATTATCAGTATAGAACATTTGACAAAATTTTCAAATAATTTTTTAGTTCATACTGTAAGGAAATAGGTAATTTAAACATAATTATTATCACAGTTTTTTTATGTAGATGTATTCAGTTCAAATTTKAATGAAATTGGTTACCTATATGGTAAATGATTTCCCAGTTCTTAGTTTTCTAAGATTTTATCACCTTATATCCTATGTGTCTGTTAACATAGTTACGATTTCCTAACTTATTTATTTCTGTTGCTCTGAGTTATCTGTTATTAAGATGATACTAGTATCTAAGATACTGCCCAGACCTAGAGACGACATAATTGTTATTTAAWGAATATTTTATTAAAAAGTAATATAGTATCCATTATTATACATATTAAACTTTCCCTAATGCATAGTTGTAGTTTAAATATCAATCAAAAATTCCAAATTATACTTGTATTATATATCATATAAACTTTGATTAAGTTGTTGAGGCTAAAATATGTATTATAATTGTTGATTTAATAATCCCTAGTTATCACAATTAACTTCTTTAAATATTTTAACAAATTGAAAATTAAAACTCAAAATTTATGCTACTTCTTACTATTATAAGTATTACTTATTCTTCTGCTACACGTCTACCTATTTATTTAAACCAAGTGGTTGTTGATATACCAATAATTGTTGTCCAATAATCTCTACTTAGCAATCCAGATTCGTCTGACTGGCGATACCAATAATGTATAATTGTGCTCGTACTTTACGTTTCTGTGTTCTGTTAACCTAAGCAAATWCGCCGAGTGCGGCATCAATGATGAATCAGTAATCTGAATTTATTTATTTATAGAATTTCATTAATAATTACTTCCATTACATTTTAGACAAATGCCTGTACCAAGTGTGGGCCAAACCATTGTTAATGCTGCAGTTGAACTACCAATTGTAGCAAGAGTAGTACCAATGATTTCCAATAATTCTATGATGCAATTTACAACATCATCATYAAAAGCTGTAACATTAACACCATCAACAGGTTTAAAGGAGGCATTTAAACCACCACTATCAATTAAAAAGTCARTGCCAAACAATCTAATCCAAAATGCTGTAGGTGCAACTGTTGGAATTGATAACAAATTATATCAATTAATTAAGGATCCATCTGGTGCACTACGAGCATTTGTCAATAATGCTCAACTACCAGCAATAGCCAATAATACTCAACTACCAGCAGTAGCCAATAATACTACCACTGAGTCCAAAGTAAGTAAAATACATCAATATTTTATAATTGTTTACAAACGCTTCACAATACTTTTTTTTATTACATTATATTAGTTCGTGAAGACATAATTTTTGAAAATTGTGGTAAGCTAATTTATTGTTTTATCTTTGTAGTCTTGAAAAATATATATCCGTAGTACTAGTTATAGTAACATTCTTTCAAATTCATCCATTTTTTTTTTTTTATTTTTTTTATAAAAATTAATAGTAGCATATATCCTAACTGATTAAAGCTAAATAATTTATGGCTAAATGTTAGTTTAGGTAACTACCAAATTATTTAAATTTATGTATTTAAACTGCTACTGACCATCGATTGGTTTTGTCTACAATTTTTYTAAACATTATCTGGAAATAGAATTAGCTCTTTTATTTGCATTATTACTAACTTATTTTTTTCTTTAAATAAGGAAGCTTTTTTCTTATAAATTGTTCAGCTAAAGTTTTTTTGAAAATTATG